CTATGGTTCCTTCGCGATAAAAACTTCTAGTAACTGCATAATGCGGGTTGACTTTGTAACTAGTGTGGCATTTGGGCATAGTTAGGTCGTAAATTTAAGTAAACAGAGAAAAGCACCCCAGCCCTTACAGCAGAGGCTGAGGGGCACCTGTACACAGGACAGGATAGAGATGCTGTCAGGGTTTCATAAACCTTCATTAGCTATGACAACACACAGATACAGACTCACACGGCAGGAATGCCAGGCCTGGCATGGAGACCATGTGGAAAACACAGGAACACATGCAGCATCACATACTAAAGCCCTGTAGAAATGTTCTCCCACTTGGAGCAACACGGCAAACTGGCTTTGACAGCTATAAAGGCAGAACGATCAGCAGACCCATAAAAACCATAAAAACAGACAGAGACTTAGAGACAAACAGTCCTACACATTTCCTCTATACACATACACACGCTAAGGAAATATGTGTGCATGTGTAATGCGCAGAGCCAGTTGGGTCAGCACGGGTCCAGAACACACAGAAACTGCTGCTGTCCTCACACGAACCCTACTGGAAACACACTGCCAGATTATAACACTGCCACACACTCACACACAAAGTCTCTCTCTCACACACACAACACACAAAATTCCACAAGTACACCACACAAATACAAACTAAGACTCGTGCCAAGCAACACTCTATGAGGACATGGTAAAGTCATTTTACTGTCATATTCTTTCAGAGATTTCCATTTGCATAGGGTAAAAACATACACACGTTATGTAAATGTATAAGTAATTGTTTATACTAGATGTTCGACCACAGACAGCATTTACACTGAAATAAGGAGCCGGAACAGCCGAAGTATGTGTTGAAATCAAGCTGGTTTAGATTTAACCCCAAGAAATGTGGTAATATTCAGGAGAAAAATAAATTCGATCCATGTAGGCCAACATCATCACATCCAAAAATCGCTTCAACATAAACACAACCTTAAAGGGACAGTTCACCCAAAAATGTATATTTGGTCATCATGTACTCACCCATGTGTCATTCCAAACCTGTATGACTTTCTTTCTTCTGTGGAACACACGAGATAATATTTTGAGAAATGCATGTACGGTATATTTTTGTCCATACAATGGAAATCAATGGTAACCAAAACGGTTCGGTTACCAACATTCTTCAGAATATCTTCTTTTATGCTCCACTGAAGAAAAGAAAGTCACACAGATTGAAACAACATGAGGCTGAGTAAATGACCACATAATTTTCATTTTTGGGTGAACCATCCTTTTAACGCAGTGGAGACAACAGCAACATCTCTACTTTTATCTTACTTTAATCTCAGAATTTATTTATTTAGCAAAACTTAGTTATTATAAATACTTACAGTTTCAGAAAAAAAAGGTACAAAGCTGTCACTGGAGTGGTACCCTCCAGTTACAAAATATTACAATAGTGCAAAATATAAACTTAAGGTACTAACATGTACCTTTAAGGTCCTATTAGGTACCATTTTGGGGTAAATAAGGTACAAAGATGTAGCTTTTAGAGTACTGTCCCAGTGACAACATTTTTTTTCTGACAGTGTATATTAGAAAACTTGTCAAATAAGAGACAAATGTGAATCTCGAAATCTTGATGAGACAGATGTATCACAGTTCAGTGAAGAAGAACCTAAATTGAGTCTGAGCAACATCTACTTCTGATTGGCCAATCGTTGCACCCTGCTGTCAGTTATTTTTGTGTAATAACCACTAAACTTTATAAGTATAATTTATGTATTTACTTGGTAAGTATGTAATTAGGGTGACAAGATCCTGCCACTTCCTGATCACCCTGTCTGACTGTATATTATCCCTTAGGCCCTATATATTGAAGGACTATCCAAAGTAACTAGAGGATCTTACAGAAATCAATGCAACGGAAAGAAAAAAAGAAAAAAAAGATCATACAATTCCTGTGTTATTTCAGTCTATTTGACTCTCAGTCCACATAGGTTTAGCTAAGCCATTTATAGCAATGTCAAGCACTGAGCAAATAGTACAAATCCACAGTAGCCGAAAATACGCTGCGCAAAGACATACATTAATCATTTATCATTCCATCATGCTGAAAAACCTCCTCACACTAAACATCAATTATTTCTGAACTGTTAAATTCATCATAAGCAAACAAATATTATTTTTAAAAAAGATGCAAAGACAAAGATAGCACTGTAAAACATTAGCCACAGTAAATAAACAAACATCAGGCCAAAACTGTTCAAGTTACATTACAAAAGTCAAATTTAGGCTGTTTACTAATGAGAAACCTGTGAATAGCCTTTTTACGTATTCGTCTTTGGTTACCCTTGCCGTAACGCGACCACTCACTCTGTCCATGCAAAACACGGGGCAAGAACACACACATGACCAGAAAAGTGTAATTGACTCCTCCTTCCTCTTTCCTCCCTTTTTCCCTCCTTCCGTACAGGGGGTCTTTCTACCCTGTGTCCAATCCCAGTGGTCTGCATGCACACACACACACACACACACATACAGAGCCAACTTCCCCTTCAATGGGCCTCTCTACAGGGCTACAGTCAAGGCCTCACAGCTTCTGCCTAGAGTTACAGAAACTACACACAGGCACACACATTCCAGCCTCTGAAATGAGCACCGCCACAATAACAACCTAAACATCACAATCCAGTTCCTTTAAACAAAAGGAACATATCATCAGTGCAACCTACATAAAGCGAGACGTGCACAAAGGAAGTCCAGCATGACACAGAATCGATCACGGTTATGAACATAACATACAGGTGCATGGGTATTTTGAACTATACTGAAAATGTAAACATCCAGTATAGGACGATATAGATTTTGCAGAAAACAATTCCACTGACTTTCAGTTATTTATCCTGCACTGATAATCAAAAAGACTAAAAAAAATAAAGAGAGAGAGAAAAAATTTTGATATGTTTACATATACAGCGTGCATTATAGTTCAAAAGTTTGGGGTTGGTAAGATTTTTAATGTTTTTGAAAGACGTTTCTCATGCTCAAAAACAAGGCTGCATATAATTGATCAAAAATACAGTAAAAACAGTAATATTGTGAAATATTATAACAACTTAAAAGAACTGTTTTCTACTTTCATATATTTTAAAATATAATTATTCCTGAGATGCAAAAGCTGAATTTTCAGTAGCCATTACTCCAGTCTTCAGTGTCACATAATTCTTTGGAAATCATTCTAATATATGCTGATTTTGGCGCTCAATAAACATATTATCAATGTTTAAAACAGTCACGCATCTTAATCTTTTTGTGGAAAAAATTATCTTTTTTTCAGGATTCTTTGATGAGTGGAAAGTTCAAAAGAACAGGATTTATTTAAAATAGATAACTTCTGTAAAATTATACAATGTCTCTTTTGATTAAATGTGTCCTTGCTTAATAAAGAATTTATTTCTTTAAAAAAAGGACTGATCCCAAACTTTCAAACAGTAGTGTTCATACAAAAGACAATGGTACTAAATAATAGGGAAAGAGGGTTTTGAAATCATTCCAGGGTATCTCAATTCAACATGGGACAAGGGTTTTTAAGGTCTGCCACCTGACATCAACCTAAACCACTAGAAAATATGAGAATTAATATGACCAGTCATTTACTTCTGACCATGCTTGTCTAACATGCCCTAACTAGTTGTCCATTAGGAACAGTGGAAAAAGACCTAGCCTAGATCAACCGACATGTTAAACAAACAATGCACACTACAACAGATTCTCAACATACCATCAGCACAATGTGCTTTCAGGTCTGAGTCACACACTCTATCTCCCATATGACCCACAAAGACATTATGTTAAACAATAGGTTAAAATGCCTCATATAGCAGGGTTATTACATTTTATTAGGTTTTTAATAAAGCATTTATAAAGTTTTACTTTTATCATCAGGTTTTATAAAACATACAGGTCTCTCCATCAGGTAAAATACGTAATATGCACATTGTGTTCCAACCATACTGCAAAAAAGACGACAATGTTTATTCTTATGACAGCATAAGATTAACAAATACAAGAAAACAAATTTTAAAAATTGTTTAAATGAAACAATAACTTTTCCTTACAATTAAACATTACAGACAAATAAGCAAATGCACAATAGATAATGTATTTATGTATATTTAAATACGCACATATGTGAAAATATATGAATGAAAGTTTAATTACATTGTAATTATTGAAATGTATGTTAACTAATGATCTATTAAACATTATATAATTCAATAATGTTTGGTAATTTTATCAAAGAAAGCTATTATAAAGTGATACGGCAAAAACACACACACACATGTACAGTGTAGGTATCCGACCTGAATCACTACACTCGTATAGCACGTTTTGTTGTGAATTAGTTAGGTACATCTCTGACATTACAGTTCTTGGTAAGAGAAGTTAGCTCAATCTCTAAAGCAGAACATTTAAAAGTGCTGGTAAAACTGTAGAAGCGATATTGTCGCTGTGGCTGATGATGTCGCAGTTGGAAATTACCGCAACAGATGAGCCGATGCGCAGCAATACTATCAAGATCACTCATTACCATTACATGCATTTACATTGCTTTGAACATAATCATTCCTTCATTAGCACGAATTTGCTGCTTTAAGTCATCCTTCAGAACTAGCTGTACTCAGAGGCATGCAAAGTTTTCCACGTTGTATAACGTGCCACGGTCGGTGTTTAAATTGCATTCAATCAGTGCAACGAGACAGACGCATCAAAGACACACGACTAAATAAACAGGTTTTAAAGTGACAAACGTGTTTTAGCTCAGCAACTACCACACGAACTCTCTCTCCCTCTCTGGATCTCATGTGCCAGGTTAAAAAAACAGTCACTTGAGTAGGTTACCTAACATTAGCAGACTAGCAGCTTTTGTTTTGAATTGCATTAGTGCATGCGCGCACAAGGTTCACTTTGATAAAAGTGTGTGTTAGAGTAAACTGCTCGCTTCGTACCTGCGTGCAACTTTTCCGATCAAGCGAGATGTGACTTTTGCTGCTTCACTTCAGCCCGTAACTTGTAAATCTTGGGGGGGGGGTTTTCACGCCGAGAACTTGGCGCGAGCTCCCATGCTAGCACGCCGAGAAAACACGCCCACCGCCTCGGCAGCGCAGCCCCGCAGAGGGTCGCCTCGCTCCGCGTCCAGCCGCGCCGCAGCCCCGTACTCGCGGTCGAGCCTCTGGAGGAGCTAGTCGACGAGATGCTAACGAATTACGCTGGCTATTGCAGTTTTGCAATCCATCCCGTGCAGATTTGATCGCGAGTCTGTGGATTAATTAAAGACAAAATAATACCACAAAAAATATCGGTCGATTCTGAAAGCACTTCCTCCGCGACCTGTGGGTGATTCGCAGTTTCAGGGCACAAAACAAACTTTGAACCCACGCTGGTTAGGACTGTAAAAATGTTGTACTTGACCCTAAATAGATGGTACTCCGTGTAATTACGCCCCGCCCAGACTCTACCCTGTACAGCGGATTTTCCTCCAATAACGGATCAAAGACTGTGCTGTGAGAGTGCGTCCGCTGTTTTGGTTGGTGTGACATCCTCTGCCACGCGCGCACTGTTTGGACAGGTCGGTTGTTCGTAAAGCGCGTGGGGACAACTCCCACATTCCACAAGCAAAACACACGCACTCACACGCACGCACGAACCCCACTGCTGCATTCACAGGCGAGCTGCTGCGCGCGCACATACACACTCACACACACTCACGCGCGCGAGGGGTGTGTCGTGACGTCAGAGACGCCAACGAGGTAAACAGTTTGTCCGCATGAGGTCGAGCATTATATTCGTGTATAAACGAGAATAAATGTGTGCCAGGCACTTCATTCTGTATTGAAGGAATACTTTTTACATTTACTCATCCTGTTGTTGCAAACCTGTATGACTTTCTTTCTTCTCTGAAACACAAAAGAATGACAGCCTCATGTACCGTTCATTTTCTTTGTATAAAAAAAAAAAGAGGCAAAGGTATCATTCCCTAACATTCTTTCTTTTTGAGAATACCATACAGGGTCGGAAAGGGTGAATAAACGATGACAGATATGAAATGAACGAATTTTCCTTTTGTGTTTTTGCTGCTCCTTTAAGAAAAACATAAATGCAACACAAAATAATTTATGGCCTAGCCAATAACCTACTTAACCTAATAGCAGTAGACGATTTCTGGTTGCTACAGTTACTGCAGTAAGTCATGGAAATGTTCAGCCGTCTATGACGGCCAGTCTTTTTTTTAAATATAATATTTGGGTTTGTAAGGAGATGAGTTCATGTTTTACTTGGGTGTGTCTGCCTGAGTAGTATATCAGAGGCTTCTGTTTCAGGCCTAGAACGCAGAGCTCAACATTGTGTGCTTGTGTGTGAGTATGCATAAGAGAAAAATAACATACAAGTTTGATTGTATTAGCCTGATCTCATGGGGGAATTCAGTCCTGTGGAACGCAGTGGGAGAAGAAAGGTTCTGTGTCATGTTTGTGTGCAGGCGTGTATGTGTATAAGATCTGAGCTGTAATGATTGATGGTGAATGTTGAGATAAAGGAAGAGAAATGTAATGGAGTGACGTAGTGAAAGGAAGATCGTAGAGGCATGAATGGAAGTAAAAGATGCAGAGAGAGGGGCATCTTATGGTTATCCATTGGCTGTTTCCGTCGTCCTCTCACAGGAACATATGGGCTATTGTCTGGAAATAAAGAGGGGCACATTTAGGGTACTAAGCATGCTTTGTACATACATTTAAAACAGCACCGCAAAGAGAAATAAAAGAGATACGGAATATCATAGAACTGCTACAATGTTGTTATACTATTAACACAGTAATACTGTATGTGAATTTATGATGTTTCATCTGGTCTTGTGACCTTCAGAGGATTCTGTCGTGGTGTTCACCTATAAAAGATCCCTCTCTCAATAGGCATCTGCATTTGACTAAGATCATACTTTTGTTCTCCTCTTTCCATTTCCCATGTACAAAATGTTCTGACGGTTACAGTGATATAACAGTTCATAACCTCTCAGAGACTACAAAGATAACTGTGGAATGTGTGCAGAACATAGAATGTTACTCCATGTAGGTCAAAGGTCAAGGGCAGCCAGCCAATCAGGATTCTGTATGAAAATCAGATAAAAACAGCTTAAAATCATATATAAGCAATACATTTTGTAAGCAGCAATAGTATTAATACAGTATTTTGCTATAAGTTTGATTGCATCATATAATAATGGCTGTTGTGAAAACAATAATAATAATCGTGTAATAAGTGTAATAATACTCTCGTTTGATTACGTCTTTAATTGATTTTTCCGTACATTTCTGCCATATGTACATTAACTGACAGTCACCACTAATAAGATACTACTAAATATTGTAGAAACTTAATTTGCTGTAAAGTTGCTTTGCAACGATTTGTATCGCGAAAAGCGCTATACAAATAAACTTGAATTGAATTGAATTAATACCGTATGCTTTGCTGTTGTGAAATATAAGGCTATTTATGGCATTCATATAGTTAGCATTTAGATTAAAACTATGTAAATGTAAAATAATTGTTGTGTAAATACTATTGTCATTTTGCATTATTGACACTATTTTCCTAATTAATGCTGTTCAGTTGCTTTGACACAATCTGTATTGTTAAAAGCGCTATATAAATAAAGGTGACTTGACTTGACTTGACTTAAATTTAGATTAAATTAGCTGGATTTTTAGTCTGTTGCCCCTTATTTTGTAATGAAAATAACCTTCTTCTTTTTTTTTTTGCCAAAAAGGGAAATATGAGAAAACACCCATCTTTCTTGCTCCATCTTTACTCGCAACGAAAATGTCACAAGGAAGAAGCATTTGATTTCCTAGAGAGAGAAAAAAAATAGGATAAACAGTGGAAAAAAGGACCAAAATAAAGACGTTTTACAGACCGACCATTCTTTGACTCTTTGTAAATCTTAATAATCTGCTATATTTGTTGCAGATGTTTTTGTCACGATGAAATGAATACATTTAATCAGAAAACACCCTGGATTGTTCGTGCACGGAAGTCATCTTTTGGAAAGATTTGAGGCTAGTAAAAGGAGCATAACGTTTTGTAACAATCCGATGCGTCTATTTCTCGGTAGAAAGATATAAATAAGTAAATAAAACGATTAAAACCCTGTTTCAGCAGGGCAGTGCGTGCGTGCGAGATTTGCCTTCAGTCCGAGGAACTGCCAGCTGGAGATGTCATGACTGTAAGCGGCTAAACATAACACAATATGAAATGAAAAGACACATTAGCGATAGTGTAAATAAAAATGAAAAAGCTGATACAATTCTAAAAACATTCAAGTACGTAGGTTATAATTTATACAAAAGTTACTAAAAAATACTGTTGGTTTGCTAGAACCTGCCAATGACTATAAGCAAACTAAGCACTATAAATACCCGAAAGGAAGCAACGCAATTTGACACTAAACAGACAAATACACGCGCAGTGTAATGGAAAGAACAATAACATACGAAAGTACAGCCCACATATTCAGTGAATAATCCTCTTCATGTCGTTGTTTTGGGAGTGTGGTCCCATGGTGTAATGGTTAGCACTCTGGACTTTGAATCCAGCGATCCCGGTGGGAATCTCGGTGGGACCTCGTCCTTTTGAGAATGCAAAAAAAGACAACCTAGTCGAAGTTAAAAAACAAATGCAGTGTTGTGTTAAATTGGGACAAAGCATCAGCGATGTACCTCCATGAAATCCTGTTAATTCAGCTTGTGTATGTTTACAAAACAAACAATGAGTGTCTTCAAGAAGTGAGTATGCTCATATTTCATTTATTGATGAGAAAGGGTGGGCTGATTTTGATATTTGATAGCTGGTTATGGTAAAAATCATCAAAATGTGTGACAGTAAAACAAACTCAATGATAATATCTTACACTATGAAAATAGCCCCTCCACGATAGTTGATGCATTGTTAAAATGGCCCTTTTTGTTTGTAAACATGCAAATCACAATAAGAATGTGTAAATATGAAATAATTTGTTTTAGTCCATCTCTTTTACGGTCATTAATTGTAAAAACCATAGTTTTTTTTTTTTACTGTAATAGGCAGACTGTGGATGTATTAAATATTTAAACTCTATTCGTCTTGCATGCATATTTCACAATAAATAACAATAAAATATAGATATAATATCTACACTGTGCAGAGCACATGCAAGTTCTATTTTCATTACAATCTGCTGGTAACTAGGTGATCATTTCTATTAAACATAATTAAATGGCTTAGCTTAAGTTTTATATGCCACACCTAAGCAAACTATGCTTAACTGGCAACAAGCAAAGACTAGCAGTGCTTTTCTTGTCAGTATTTAACATTAAGAGAGTGAAGCATGACATGATTAACAAATGTAGAAGCTAAATCTATAGACTTTAGTGTTCTACATTTTAATTCAAGTAATCACAGTGTTTTGGTGCGTGGTGTTACAGATCAGTTATTAGTGTAATAGTTTCATAAACCTGATCCCTCAAACCTCAAGAGAAAATATAACTCTAAGCACATTATTACTGCAAACCTTTATTAAATAACTGGAAATCAGATATTTTTCGAGGGATAAAGGAGAGTTTTGTTTTATCATATTTTTAGTAATATTTTATTTAAATACCAAAAAGAATGAATTTAAAAACGCATTAGTTGCTAAAAATATGACTTTGTGTCTTGTAAAGGCCATTTTGAATAGAAAACGAACAACCATTCTGACCATTTAACTGAAAACAAACACACACAAAATCAATGAAAATAAAAACAGAACACAATAACAGTCATACAGTTTTGGCATCCTGAGTGGTAGGATTAATGGTCCATTTTCTCAACCAAAAAGAGGTTTGAGTGTCGAAAACTTCCTCGCTCATTTATTTATCTGTTAGATATACTTTACCAGGAAAATCCCCGTGTTGTTTTTCTTGTACATTTATTTAATAAAAGGCATATAATTTGAAATCACTTCATAATGCACTCAATTTCTACATGACCTAATCATGACAGAAAAGACGAAGCTTGCATACGGAGTCAGTTTTGTGTATCCCAATGAGAAACACTTCTCTCGTTCTGTATATAAACGTAACATTGACAATATCCACTGTGATACCATCTTGTCCTTTGCTCTCTCTGTTTTGTTTTTCTCCATCTCTCCTTTACTGTGTTCATTTTCGCAGCTGTTGAGGTCCCAGCATGACTTTATTGATGAAGTTCACAATGGCCGTGGCTGGCTGCTCTGCGCCGAGCAACAAATCCAAACATCCTATAGAGAGTATATATCAGAGACCATGACAGATTGTTCAATTAAATAACCCTTTTATTCATTTATTTCATTTCACTTGCTTAGTCTCAGTGGCATAGAAAGAAATGCACTTGTCTCATTTCTAAATGTACACATTTGGGAATAAAAATCCAGAAGGCACAAGAAAAGCTACACTGAAAGAGAATATAGAGGTATACAAGTAGAAGCACTTACTTGCGGGAAGTGTTATCAGCATCAATCCACCTGGCGTACACACACACACACAGAGGCTAAGCAACATGTATAAGCAGAGCAAATAAGAGAAAAGCATATAAGAGGGCAGGAGAGCCATTGCACAAAAAAAAAAATAATAATAATAGCACGTTGACAGCCTTAGATCAACATGAGAGGCAAACTTTGTTCACTAGACTACGTAAAAAAAAAAAAACATGTTGGCTTGGCCATACAATGAAGCAAAGTACATTAGAGATGAGGTATGTTGTACAAACCCAATTCCAAAAACGTTGGGACACTGTACAAATTGTGAGTAAAAAAGGAATGGAATAATTTACAAATCTCATAAACTTATATTTTATTCACAATAGAATATAGATAACATATCAAATGTTGAAAGTGAGACATTTTGAAATGTCATGCCAAATATTGGCTCATTTTGGATTTCATGAGAGCTACACATTCCAAAAAAGTTGGGACAGGTAGCAATAAGAGGCCAGAAAAGTTAAATGTACATATAAGGAACAGCTGGAGGACCAATTTGCAACTTATTAGGTCAATTGGCAACATGATTGAGTATAAAAAGAGCCTCTCAGAGTAGCAGTGTCTGTCAGATTTTGCTCCCATCCAGACGTCGTCTCTTTCAGGGAGGACCTTGCATTTTCCAACATGACAATGCCAGACCACATACTGCATCAATTACAAACATCATGGCTGCGCAGGAGGAGGATCCGGGTACTGAAATGGCCAGCCTGCAGTCCAGATCTTTCACCCATAGAAAACATTTGGCGCATCATAAAGAGGAAGATGCGACAAAGAAGACCTAAGACAGTTGAGCAACTAGAAGCCTGTATTAGACAAGAATGGGACAACATTCCTATTCCTAAACTTGAGCAACTTGTCTCTTCAGTCCCCAGACGTTTGCAGACTGTTATAAAAAGAAGAGGGGATGCCACACAGTGGTAAACATGGCCTTGTCCCAATTTTTTTGAGATGTGTTGATGCCATGAAATTTAAAATCAACTTATTTTTCCCTTAAAATGATACATTTTCTCAGTTTAAACATTTGATATGTCATCTATGTTGTATTCTGAATAAAATATTGAAATTTGAAACTTCCACATCATTGCATTCTGTTTTTATTCACAATTTGTACAGTGTCCCAACTTTTTTGGAATCGGGTTTGTAGATTGGAGTTGTATTTCCTAATGATTCAATCCTAAATTGTACCTTTGATCCAGTGGATCCACACTGCTGAAAGTCACACTATGAATAGGGTAATGTCGCCTGAAAAACAGTCTATATAAAGAAAACGAGAGAGACAAAGAGTGAGGTCTGAGTGAGTCTGTTTTTACTTTTCATTGTCTCTGATTAATATCTTGGATTTGAGTCATAAAGCCCTGTAGTTTACTTGAATGTCTAAAATAGGTCACTTTAATCTCATATTTGAAGGATGATGCTAAAAATATGCTTGAGGAGTGATAGTAATAAAGCTGTGTTACAATGTAAACTGTTTAGCTTGGCAAGCAAAACATAAGTGTTATTGGACGTGTATATTTGTACCTGTGCTGGTTATCAGTGAGGGTGATGCCCTGTGTGGACACTTTGAAGTGGATGACTGTTGGTGAAGGACGAGGGTCCTGGGTCAAAGGGAACTTGGTTGCCTTGGAGACGGCTTGTGGGCCAGTCAAAGATTCTGTTTCCACTGAGTTTAGGTAAAGAACATTACAAGCTGACAATGAGAAAGAGAGAGAGTAATAAAGAATATTAGAGGGAGAAAGAGGACATTTGTTATTTTTAATGAGGAATATTGAATATAACACAGACTTTTATCATCAAACTTTTTTATTTCATTTTTTTTAGCAAGAATGCATTACATTTATCAAAAGTGACAGTACAGATGTTGACATTTTCAAACAGATGCTATTTTTCAGAGCCTTCTTTTCATCAAAGAATTCTGAAAATAAAAAAAATGTATCACAGTTCCCACAAAAATATTAAGCTGCACAACCATTTTCAAATGTAAAAATAATAAGAAATATTTATTGTGCACCACAGACTGGAGTAATGGCTGCTGAAAATTCAGGTTTACCAATCGCAGGAATAAATTAAAAATTATTAAAATATAAAACAGTTATTATAAATTGTAATAATATTTCACAGTAGTACTTTTTTACTGTATTTTAATTAAATAAAAGCATAACAGACTTCTTTCAAAAAATTTTATACATTTCATCAACCTCAAACTTTTGAACAGTAGTGTATGTATATAACTGTAAGATCCATATTAGTAAACTTAATAATACTTACTGTTTTTCTGCACCATCCATACACAGAAAAAAATAAAAGAATAAAAGAAAATAAATCAAAATCACCTGCCCCCTGTTTTAATAGGTCTGCAGCTGTGCTGGTATTAGTTCCACTTTGCAACTCTTGCAATTCTCCTACAAGATCTGAAACACAAACACACACAAATCAGGCAGTTATTACACAGTTATTATGAAAAAAGATTAATTGTCATATGTTTTCGTGTTTGTATGACCTCTATCTGGGATTCGTAAGACACAAGGAAGAGACACAGGAGTAATGGAGTGCTAATACACCAAAGCAGACAGGGAGCCTGGATGGAAAGAATCACAAGAACTCGATCAATAAGGGGCGCTGTTTTCAACACAGAGCATTAGAAAATCATTCATAAACCAGGCATAATCTTTTTTTTTTTGTCTCACCGAAATATGTTTCATTTTAGGACCACTCTCAATCAGGAAGTGCCTTACTAGCTGCTCCTGTGGGTTGCCTGTCTCTCCGTGGTTACTAGCGTGGGCTGGAGGTGTGCTGACTTTCAGAGCCAATCCAAATGCGCCTGGGAATGAATTACTATCCCTAATGAGGAAGCAGCCAGGCTCCTTATCTTTTAATACTGCGATGGCTGAATGGGGAAAGAGATACTTCTGTCAACAGTGGCCTCCTAAAGATTGATTTACAACTGGATTTT